GGAAGAGACATTCTGTACTCTTGTTTCTGCTCTGTGGTCATCCTTACATGGGTTTTCATATCTTGAGCCTTACCACTGAATTTCCTGGGACTCATGGCGTGATATATAATAATTACTTTAATGTTCAAAATGCAAAAAATCACCACAAAAGCGGAATTTCTTATAGGCGCGATCGTTACTATGCGGGCAGCTGTAGTAAACTGAGGCAGGTCAGCCGCGTGACCGGGAACCACGCGCTCAGTCGACCCGAATGTGTACCAACAAATGTTGGAAGTCGACGACACCATCGGATATCGAGTCGCATTTTTCTATGAAATTTACATCATAACTCGAAATTATCGTAAGTAGGGGCAATCGTATGTCGAGGTGCCACTATATAATGATTTAGGGGATATATTTAGGGTATACTTTATATAAGTGAAAAAGCCTTAATATGGTCCCTAATCATGAAAACAACCTAAAGAGACAAAGAAAATAGAGTTTGAAATCAGAGAAAAAATTAGCAAAAAAATTTAAAGTCCCAAGTTTTGCGAGTGACTGATTTATTTGTTGACTAATTTCATTCTATCTTCACATAGTTATGGAAACACATGCACTCTCCAGGATGTAAAGGTTACAACAAAATCAGATAATAAACAAAGGAAAAAAAAATACTAAATTCTTAAAAAAAAATTTCCCCTAAAAAAAAAATATTTTTGGGACATAGATGAGGGTAACATATATTAATATTGGACAATATATTTATATGATATATAACAAAATAATAATGAATAACTGTTAATATGTTTTATTTGTGTTATTATGTATTACTCAGCAATGCTATAAAGGCACCAACTGCATATCCACTTTGTGGACACTTCTTACTACTATTGTTCTTCTTTGAGCGTTAGACAGGTGCTTGTATCTCTTTATTACTGCATAATCCTTCAGTTCCACTTATTTGGAGTTGTTCTCCTTATCAACAAAACGTTCTTATTTTTTAAAAATTTGTCTAAAATCAATTTCTAAAAATAATTTGCTGAAAGTTTCACGACACTGAAGCCAATAAGTTGGAGATTTATTTAACATTTTTAAGTTATTTTTACATAATATGAATATTTTTCGCTATCAGGCCCCCAATATGAGCACTATAATATGTCACAGGCCCACAATATGTCACAGGGAGCCAGTCGGTCGAGCGGACAGCACGCTGGACTTATGTATTACTTACCAATGCTATAAAGGCACCAGCTGAACATCCACATATTATTTGATCTCTCTCTCGTCTCCTTTCTAGTGAGTACATTTGGAGACCTTTCAGACGATCCCAATAATTTAGGTGCTTTATCGCGTCTATCGCATTATCGCATATTGATACCAAAATTAACAATGTAACATGAAGAGTATACACATTTTAGTAGTTGCTTGCTCGCTCACGGGTAACGCTTGAGCAACTTTCGGGTATGCTGCGGGTGTCGCACCGTTTTTTTTTTTTTTTACCTTATATGCATATATCCCTTTAGAAAATTCTATTGCGAACAATTTGTTACCAAAATGAATGATGTAACACGAAAATTGACACGGGAAAACTGAAAAGAGTACTGTATAAACATTTTAGTGTGGTTGTTGTGGGTGTGTGGATGAGTGCTCGCTTACGGGTATTGCTTGGTCATTTTTTTGGGTTTGCTGTGGGTGGCACGCCAAGCTTTTAGACCTTATATGCATATATCCTTTTAGAGAATTCTTCTGCAAACAAATTGATACCAAAATGAATGACGTAACACAAAAATTGACATCAGAAAACTGAAAGAGTATACGCATTTTAGTGTGGGCACGTGCCCACGGGAAACACACTGCCCACATTGAGGCGAGCTGGGGCGCGCATGTCTGGGTTGTGAAAGCGTTAAATGTGACATTTGCTTACATTAGCATTTTTTTCATAAAAATGACACTGCTGTATAGGCATCAAAATGGCCTCAGCCTAATGATCTGGCCCCACCCTCACCCTCATGACAAACACATCCACCATCATGTCATCATATATATCTCTTAACATATACACAGTTATTCCAACTATACAGCATTGAGAGCCTTCACCCAATTTAACCTATTCACAGCTTCACTAATTTTCCCTTCATCTATTCTGTCATACTAGTTGTCTTCCACCTCCTTTGCTCATTCCAAAATATATTATTACTGCCTTTCCTTCATTTGTAAAAATTGATTTTAACATATTCACTCCTCTTCATTTATTTCCTTACCATACATATCTTCCAGCTCATTAACTTTTCTATAATCTTGTGGCTTATCTAAATATTCATTCACTTTATTTCAGAACACCTCCATCTCGGCTTTTTTTGTATCATTCTCTTTGCACACAGGAACACACACATGCGTATGCGTGTGCGTGCGTGCGTGCGTGCGTGTGTGTGTGTGTGTGTGTGTGTGTGTGTGTGTGTGTGTGTGTGTGTGTGTGGAAAAAATGTGGAAAAAATGCTTAAGGCGCTAAGTAAGAACAAAGCAGCTGGTCCAGATGGAGTTTCACCATGGGTTCTGAGAGAATGTGCACCTAAGCTCAGCATTCCACTTCAACTGATTTTTCAGGCATCCAGGCATTTTCAGGCATGATTTTTCATTTTTCAGGTAAAGGAATTGAAGCTAATGTGTGGAAAAAGGATAACATAGTTCCAATCTACAAAAGTGGCAGCAGGGACGACCCCCTCAATTATAGACCTGTATCATTGACAAGTGTAATTGTCAAAATATTGGAAAAAATAATTAAAACTAAATGGGTAGAACACCTGGAGAAAAACGATATAATATCAGACAGACAGCATGGTTTTCGATCTGGAAGATCCTGTGTAACGAATTTACTTAGTTTCTATGATCGAGCCACAGAGATTTTACAGGAAAGAGATGGTTAAGTTGACTGCATCTATCTGGACCTAAAAAAGGCTTTTGACAGTGGTGAAGGGACGGACCGAAACGTCGTCGTCCCTTCACCTTCTAGTGTGTGGTCTGGTCAACATACTTCAGCCACGATATTGTGACTCATTGCCAGCTTTTGATATTTTCACATATGAGGTTGTTCTGGAAACTGGAACATATTGGAGGGGTGACAGGTAAACTTTAGCATGGATGAAAAATTTCCTAACTGATAGAAAAATGAGGGCAGTAATCAGAGGCAATGTATTGGATTGGAGGAATGTCACAAGTGGAGTACCTCAGGGTTCAATTCTTGCACTGGTAATGTTCATTGTCTACATAAAGGATCTACCAGATGGAATATAGAATTATATGAACATGTTTGCTGATGATGCTAAGATAATAGGGAAGATAAGAAACCTAGATGATTGCCATGCCCATCAAGAAGACCTGGACAAAATAAGTATATGGAGCACCATTTGGAAAATGGAATTTAATGTGAATAAATGCCATGTTATGGAATGTGGAATTGGAGAACATAGACCCCACACAACCTATAAATTATGTGAGAAATCTTTAAAGAATTCTGACAAAGAAAGGGATCTATGGGTGGTTCTAGATAGAAAAATGTCACCCGAGAACCACATTAAGAACATTGTGCGAGGAGCCTATGCTACACTTTCTAACTTCAGAATTGCTTTTAAATACATGGATTGTGAAATACCTGTACTAAAGAAATTGTTCACAACTTTTTTAAGACCAAAGCTGGAATATGTGACCGTTGTATGGTGCCCATATCTTAAGAAGCACATCAACAAACTGGAAAAGGTGCAAAGACATGCTACTAAGTGGCTCCCAAAACTGAAGGACAAGAGCTACTAGGAGAGGTTAGAGGCATTAAATACACAAAAACTAGAAGATAGAAGAAAAAGAGGTGATATGATCACTACATACAAAATAGTAACAGGAATTGATAAAATTGATAGGGAAGATTTCCTGAGACCTGGAAGTTTAATAACAAGAAGTCATAGATTTAAACTAGCTAAACACAGATGCCGAAGAAATATAAGAAAATTCACTTTCGCAAACAGTGGTAGACGGTTGGAACAAGTTAGGTGAGAAGGTGGTGGAGGCCAAGACCGTCAGTAGTTTCAAAGCGTTATATGACAAAGAGTGCTGGGAAGACGAGACACCACGAGCGTAGCTCTCATCCTGTAACTACACTTAGGTAATTACATTTACACACACACACACACACACACACTCACTCAGTCACTCACTCTTTCACTCTCTCACACACACACACACACACACACTCTCTCTCTCTCAGCACTACATAGCTGACACAACCTGGTATATGGGAATCATCTCAGTTTACAGCTTTAGGGAGCCACAAGGGGCTTCCCCCCCCCCCAACAAAAGAAGTTCCTGGAAATTTCAAGGTACAGTACAGTACTGCCTTTCTCATTAATTTTGCCATAAATACAGTACTATAATAAAGAGGTTGCCATGAGGAGGGGTGAAACTTTAATACCTCATTAGATGTAGCCTCCCAGATAGAGGTAGTAGAAACGTTCTTACGACAAATCTCCTCACATTACATGTGTTGCTTTACTAATAGCTACCTCACAGGCCCATGAGTTACAAAACTGCCACCGTAATTCTATATTCCATTTGATGTGTATATGAATGGTTGTGTATTAACTCACTGAGAAATAATGCAGGTAAATGTCTACCATACAGAATTCTGCATTTCCGATACTACTTAATAAAGCAATCTTATCAATAAAACATTACACAAGCCCTTTACAGTTAAGGTACTAAACTTTTAAAGAGCAAACAACAATCTACAGTCTCCTGATTACCACCAGGAGAAAATTTACTAAACAGATCTGCCAAGTAGTCAAGCCATTTACGTCTCGAGTTCACTTACACTTGTTTAATGCATCAAGCACCCAGGACAATTTAACACTGGCAAATAACCAAGACAAATGTAAACTAAGATGGCAAAACTAATGCACATACCTCTGAAGCTTCACTGAACATAGTTGCAGGCAAGCAGATAACAGCATACTTAAGAGAATAAGGGTACTTACCATCTCTGTCTCATGGAAGTTGATATTGTCAGTGGACTCTTGGGTAGTGTTAAGACTGCGAACTGGAGTAGTGGGACACCCTGCAAGGCCCAATAATTATTAATTCTTCCACTGAATCCATCTCCCTTTCTCTTTATTTATTATATATATATATATATATATATATATATATATATATATATATATATATATATATATATATATATATATATATATATATATATATATATATATATATATATATATATATATATATATATATATATATATATATAAATATATATATATATATAATGTGCTAAAAGCAAATATTTCCAAGGCATAACAAAATTTAATGCACCATACAGAGTACTATAGTGTGATAGATATCCTACAAAACTCCAATACAGTGGGAATGCTACTTGATTTTTTAAACTGTTAATTATAGTAAGAAAACTGAAGCAAAGCTATGCAGTATTATGCATTTTTATTCTGTAATGGTATTTTTCTCAAACAAAATGTTTGTGCATTGTATAAATTAAAACAAAGCAGTTTGCTTCATATGATAGCAGCAATTTAAAAAAATGTCCTTGATTTACATAATAAATATCTTGATTAATACTATTTCTTTTCAAATTTGAAATATTCTACTTCTTGCATCTAGTCTCAAATATCTGTGTTACAATGTTCTCAAACGGGTGAGGAAAAATCAATATACTAATAACAACAAATAAATCTTAACATTAAGTAATTAATGGAAAAGTTATCAAACAAGATATTTCCATTAAATCAACATCAGTTACCACAACTCTCACAAAACATGTGTAGGTTTAAATTTTCATACAAAAAACAAAATTGGCTTTGAAAATCTTTCAGTTTATGTATCTCGGACAGTAATTACCCTGCAAACTCAAAACGTAACTGTCCCTATTTTCCGCTTGTTGCAACTTGTAATAAAGTTGTTACATCTTGATAAAGAAGTTTTTATGACGTACTAGAACGTTGTTACAACTTGCTATATTTGTTGTTACAACTAGTTTGAACGTTGTAGTAACGTCGTAGTTTCGTTGTGTGTTTGGTGGGTTCGCATTAGTCTTGCAAACTGGAACTCTAACTCTAGGAGTGCACAAATTCTCTCAGATCAGGGTCACCACAGTGCATAAATTTTACAATATGAATTTTTTGTGTTATTAAGTTACTTCTTTGGAAATAGGAAAAACCAGCATGAGTATATTGAAGTGCCTCATTTGGGTTGGGTCTCAGTGGCTCCATCAAGCTAGCTGCACTGAGAGAGGTCCATACCTGTAAGTTACCTCAGTCCTAAGAGTCCTTAATACCTTACTGGAGGCCAGAACCTGATCTCAGAGGTCCAGGTGATTGCTATGATTATCCTCATCAAGGAAATATCCAGAAAGTATGCAAAGCAAAACAGACAGCTGCAAAGTTCAGAAAAAAAGAAAAACAACAGAAAATGACTTTGCAAATGATGCACCCAGCTGCAGGTTTAGTCTCGAGCCTAAGACAAACACATCGACACATTTGGTAGTGATAGGGGGAACCAGGGAGTTATCAAGGTTCAACCAGAAAGGGGCATTTCACTTCTAGAGGGGAAGAATAGTGGTTTCTTGTAATGAACAACAGAGAAGAAAAACTGGGACTGACCAGAGAGGTGAGCAACGCCTTCAAAAGGAGAGACTAGGACAGGAAACCCGACCCAAAGCAACACAAGTCCGAAGGTAACCAGAAACACTGACTAGGTATCAAGTCACCTGGACCCTGTTAGACCTCTGAAATCCAAGCCCAGATACCAGCCCAGCACATGTTTAAAAACACTATGATCAGTGCTGCAAGTTTATGAACATCATGGACCAGAGAGTAGATAACAGACTGGCTAGAATTAATGACACTGCAGGTCAAACACCGGGAGGTGGCTGTGTTGTCATCATTCATGATCCAACTAATTAAAGTGTAAACTATTATGCAGTGCTTAAAAACGTTTAATCAAACTTAAATATTATATACAGTAATGATTTACACATAATATTATAAAATAATAATATTTAACCATATATATACACAGAATAGCCAAGTGAACATTGGTTGCCACGTTATTAATGTTCCTCATTACCAATTGAATTTAAAGTTCATGTACAGTATTAACAAAATACGCAAATACTGTACTTAACAAAATATATTAAAATGTGACAAATTATTATACAAAAATTATTGTCAATCAAATCTAACTCAAAAATTTTCACAAAATTAAAAAAAAAAAAACAAAAAAAAAAAAAACTGAATGTAATAAAAAGCCAGTTTTTGGGTGAGCCCCACCCGGGACCCTGAAGCTATCTTACTGATCAAGTGCCATACTACTTGAGTGGCATCAGTCTCAGAGTTCTTTGTTGCCTACCACGGAACCAGAGCCAGAACCTGGCCCCCTCAGAGAGCTGCAGGGAACAATAGCCCATGAACACTTTACAAGATAAAATATACAGTATCATACTTGCCATCGACCAGGGAAGGCATCCAGAAAGGTAGACGAAACAAAACCGACCACTGCCTGGTTGAAAATTGCGACCGACGTCCTCAAAAGAGCAAAAGAACAATAAAGCAAATGCAAGCAAACAAGCGAAACTTCGTCCAATTAACCCCACGCGTTAGCGCTTTACCACCCACCCTGTGTGGGGGTAGCAGAGCTGGCACAGGTGAGTCTGGACACCCCCCCCAGGTCAGATCTTTAAATGATGAAAACCACCGAGTGGAGGGAGGGAGGGTGTCAGGGAGCCTCCGGGACTCACCCAGAAACTGCCATTTCATTATATTCAATGATGGTTTTATGTGGAGAGCCCTGTCGGCTCCCTGAAGCTAACTACCCACAGATGAGGTAAAACAGGGACATACCAGGAAGGCGCCAGCACCACAGGTCTCAATCCGAAGAAGTGACAGTCAACTGCGACAGACGCCCCAAGGCAAACATTCATGAGAAACTTAAAGGCCAGGACCCTGTTCAACCTCCAAAACCCATGCTCGAATATTGTTCCAAGACATATTGCGAAAGACAGCCAAAAGAACGGCATACTGTCTAACATCATGGACACAAGGGTATACCGCAGGCTGCCTAGACTTAATGACACACCATCCCTGGAACAGGGAACCAGGGAAACTGGCTCAACTCAGAGCGCATCTACTGACACAGAACCGGTGTCTCGCAGGTAGCGGCATAAAGCAGCTCAAGGGACGCAGCAGGTGATGCATTCCTAGCCGAACCAACCAAACATCCACAACCAATGGACTCCCTCGGAAGACCCCCTTCCCCCTCCCCCCTCCCACATCTCATTCTTCACCATAAAAGGAGAAGCCAGCTGCAAATGAACAAAATGACCACCAGGGCCAAATGAACAAAACCTCAAAGGGTGCCGGAGAAGAGCATGAATCTCCCCCACACTCCAAAGGCCAAAGCCAGCAAAAACAACGCTTTCGAAAAACAATCATGAACTGAAGGTGCCACCACAAACCGAGGCAAAGAAAGAAAGGAAAGAACCCGGTCTAAAGAGCAAGACGGCTCAGGCGGTATATGAGCAGGCTGGAGGTGAAAAAACACATGAGAAAGCTTGTGGAACGAGGCAGAAGTGACATCCACCCCGAATGCAAGCTGCAGCGGCTCCACCAAAGCCGCACGAAACGAAGTGACAGTATTCGACAAGAGATGCCAATCCAGAAAAAGCCACGAGAGATAGTACAAAGCAACCGTGTCTGACAAGACAAAACCCTACTAAGAAAACGAAAATGGCGGAAATCCTACAACAATCATCATAATGTTGCTGAGAAGAAGACTGCAGGTGGGATACCATCAAATTAGCCACCTGATCACCATACAAAAATGCAATATACAAGTGTCAGAAAGACCAGATGTGTATTGCGGAGAAGGAGATCAAACCAGCGAGGTACCTCACCAGCCCGACCTGCTGAAAAGGCGTAGCTGCGAAATAACACCCGGGTTTAAATACCGAGCAAGCAGCGCCTGTAACCAAGGCCAGGCCGGCCACAATGGGGCCAGGAGAAGCACCCTCCCTCGGTACAATTCAAGCAGATCCAGAACCTAGAGCAACAGCTGGAATGGGGAAAAGCAGTAAAGGAACCCTACCCCCACCCCCCGTCGACTCGCCCTGCCGAAGTGTCCACCACAAAGCCACGCAGTTGGGGAACAACGCCAAGATCAAGCCAACATGAAGAGGTCCCCTCTGGGTACTAGTATGTCCGGCAAAGCCAAAGGAAGGAATTGGCATTGACCGTCCACTTTGTGGAAAGAAGAATTAAGTGAGACGGGACCTTTTGCCAGGACGCTGGACACTCCCTGAATGTGAATGGTGTGGAGAGCTGAACCCCGAGTTCACAGCAGACGAGCTACCCAAAGCAACCAGCTCTAAAGTGTCACGGACTGAAGAGACCTTCCCCCCCCTCCAAAGTTGAGACATTAAACCAACAGGGAATCCAAATGGAGCCGGATCACCATACCCCGAGGAAGCCAAATCCTCAGCAGTTCCAGCCAGCCACAAACTCCTGCACCGTGCTGGGAGCCCGACACAAGGACAGCCGCCAACGCCCCTGGCCGGACTGGTGAGTACTAGACACAAAGCCCCAACCGACAGAGGAAGCATCAGTGAATGCATCGAGTGAGGAAGGAGGAAGGCGCCATGGCATAGAACCCCGAAAACCCCCGAAGAGGAAGCTGGTGACGTAGCAACCGGCACAAGGACACTGTGGGATGAACCCAGCAATTACAAGAGCAGCAAAAGGGGCTGTCCTGAAGATATCAGAACAGCCACCGAAGCAAAACCTTGTTCAGTGGATAAACCAGAAGTGCAGAGTTCAGGGTCCCGTGCAGCAGTTCGAGCAACCGCCGAGTCCTCACGTTCCCTCAAAACCAACCGACGGTTTCTGGTTCCAAGACAACCTGTCTTAACCTGTACAAAACGTTGTGTCTAAATACCTCTCCTGGGAATCTCCCACAACCCAAATTCACTTAGTTCCTTCCTTTACCTTTTGAGCACTTTGAGGGACCTGCACTTCGTTGTTCTTTGTTGCTTTGCCTTTCGAACGAACTGCAGGCACACCACAATAATCGTCCTCCAACATGAGAAATGCATTATAAGTCCTTAGGATATCAGTAGGCGGCATTGTTAAAGTCTTCTTAAGGCCATCCTTCTCAACAGAAGGATGGACCCCCACCGTCCCTGGTCGGCCTGGTGAGCACTGGTCACAAAGCCCCAGCCGAGAACACGACCCATCCATGAACACATCGAGTGAGGGCTCGGGCGCCTAGGCCCCGAACCCTGAAAAACCCGAAAAGGAATACAGCGACGCAGCAGCCGACGCAAAGCTCCCGGGGGCCAAACCCAGCAATCACGAGGAATCCATCTCTGATCTCAGAGTTCCAGCTAGATTCATCAATTCCTCCACTAATCCTTCCATTATTGCTTAATATTGTAAACAACAGAGATGGTGGAAGGGACGTCCCCGAAGGAACCAGAACAGCCGACGAAGCCAAACCCGACCCGGCGGGTAGACTATCATTGCGAAGTTCAGGCTCCTGCACAGACCCTCAAGCAACCTCAAGAACATCTGCGGTGTATGCGAGGCTGGCTAACATCAGAACTGCCTTCAGGAACCTGTGTAAGGAATCATTCAGAACCTTGTATACTGCATATGTAAGACCTATTCCGGAATATGCGGTCCCAGCATGGAGCCCGTTCCTTGACAAGCACAAGGTGAAGTGTGAAAAAGTTCAGAGATATGCCACTAGGCTAGTTCCAGAACTAAGAGGCATGAGTTACAAAGAAAGGCTGTGAGAAATGCACCTCATGACACAAGAAGACAGAAGAGTAACGGGAGACATGATCACTACCTACAAAATTCTCAGAGGAATTGACAGGGTAGATAAAAGATAAACTGTTTAACACGGATAGTACACGAACAAGGGGATACAGGTGGAAACTGAGTACCCAAACGAGCCACAGGGACATTAAAAAGAATTTTTTTAGTGTCAGTAGTTAACAGATGGACTGCATTAGACAGTGATGTGGTGGAGGCTGACCCCATACACAGTTTCAAATGTAGATATGATAGAGCCCAGTAGGCTCAGAAATCTGAACATCAGTTGATTGACAGTTGAGAGGCGAGACCAAAGAGCCAGAGCTCAACCCCCGCAAGCACACTTAGGTGAGTACAATTAGGTGAATACCGCCGGGTGACCCGGGAGCCCTTCAGAAACAGACGCATGCGGGGCCGCAGCCACAGAAGAGACTTCGGAGGAACACACAAGGAAGCGGTCCTAGAGTCCCACACAAGACCTAGCCATGTCCGAACCTGGGAGGGAACCAGATGGGACTGCCTCCAGTTCACCAAGAACCCGAACCCGGCGAGCTGGGAAAGAACCAAATCCCTGGCTAGCAGACAAGAAGATCGTCTGGGAGCCCAAACCAGCCAGTCGTCGAGGTAGGCCAACACCCGAACACCTAAGAGATGCAGACGGGTAATGACGACCCATATAAGGTGTGTGAACACGCAAGGTGTCAGATTCAACCCGAAGGGAAGACAACAAAAGTGGTAACCCTGGCACCCCACAACAAAACCGAGCCAGTCCCTGAACCCCGGATGAATCGGGACACGACAATAAGCGTCCGGGAGGTCCAGGGACACCATCCAAGAGCTGTCGAACCTGGGACAGCGTAGTCATCCGGAAGGAGGGGCAATGAACCCAGGGGTTCAGACGGGACAAGTCCAGAATGAACCGCAGGTCCACACATTCCTGTTTTGGTACAGGGAACAGATAGCAAAACCCATCTGAAGGACACTGTCGTTTCGACCACGCCCAAGCAAACCAGTGGAGATGGCATGCTGAAAAGCAAACCAAAAAAATTTCTGCTCATCAATAATTATATATCAAAAGTAAATTAATAGCAATTCTTGAATGATGAGAAGTAACACTGAATTATCACATGAGATGACTACAGAGTCAAAGTGTGTCCATACCATCTTATTAGCATTCTCCTCACTCCAACATTAATTTAGCCATTTCATCAATGTTAATACTGTACGTCTTCTCTTCTTTTTATCTTGACCAGCCGCACTATTCTCGTTGGTGGACATATCTTTTCTACTCATAAATGCAGCAGTATCCAAAGAAATATTACTGAAAATCTCTTGAGGTAAACTGCAGCAGCAGAAGACTATGCACATGATTGAAACAGATTTATAATGTCTGTCATGTGTGCCCAAATATATATACCCAATTCTCTAATAAAATTTTAATTTAAACCCTAACCTGGACTGCCCAGCACCACCCAGAGAGGGATAAAGCAATCTGAAAAGTTCAGGCGCCAGAAATTAAAACACGAGGAATCAGAAATTTACATCCACTCAAATTCTAAGTGGGATCATGCTTGAGGTACAATAGGCATGGTCTTACTGGCAGTTCTAAATAGATGTTCTTGAGCATAAATTGGTACCAGCATCTGGTCTGAATGTTATGTGGATAAGTTATGATTATGTATTACATTTGGGGTACAGTATATGCATGTACGTATGTTACAAATAAATGTTGGCTAGTTCCACTTTTTTTTTTTTTTTTTTTTTGGATATCCTAAGCAAATCAATTTTTTTTTTTTACATAAATGCCTAGACTATTAACACTATCGCTTGCTTTGGACACCGATCACGTCTTTTTTTTTTTTCTCTTGAGTCCTAGCCATGGACAGGACTCGCGTCCACTACAAAAATATTTGTATAAAATTAATTTTTTTATCCGATCGACCTCGGAATAGTTTCAAAATAAGTGCTTTTAAAATGCGCACAATTTGATCCTAAAATGAAAGATGTAACACAAAACTTGATGTCAGAACACTTGAAAGATTATAAATACGTCTTTGGGTCCAAATTTTAAATTTTAAAATATTTGTTAAAATTCTATTTATTGTGCTATTATTATGGGACTAGTTTTAAAATGGGCGCCTTTATATTGCAAACTATTTGATACCAAAACGAGCGATGTAACAAGAAAATTGATGTCAGAACAATGGAAAGATATACATAATTTTGATGATGAGCGTCCAAAATTAAAATATTTGTTAAAATTCCAGTTATTGCTCTATTATTATGGGACTAGTTTTAAAATGCGCGCCTTTATTTTGCGAACAATTTGATACCAAAACGAGCGATGTAACATGAAAATTGATGTTATCAAACTGAACGAGTATACACATTAGGTTGTGGTGTGCAAACTGGTGCTCATTCACGGGTAACTTTAGTGGGGAGTCTCACCAGGCTTTTGGACATTATTTGCATATACATCTGCAGGGAATTTAATTGCAAACACAATGATACCAAAACGAACTATGTAGCATGAGAATTAAGGTGAAAAAACTGAAACGAGTATACACATTTTACTGATTTTGTGTGCTCACAGTAACTTTTCAGACTTTAGGCTTTGCTGTGGGGAGTCTCGCCAGGCTTTTGGACATTATATGCATATACATCTGCAGGGAATTTAATTGCGAACACAAAGATACCAAAACGAACGATGTAGCACAAGAATTAAAGTGAGAAAACTGAAACAAGTACTGTACTGTATACACATTTAGGCGTTGCCGCACGCTCGCCCGAACCATTGGTCCCATGACGTCAAAGTCTACGGTGCGCGCGTGGTGCAGGCGATAGTGTTAACTATGAAGCAATGTCTGACAAGTGTAAACTGAAGGAATATAAATGTAATACGATTATATAAACTATGTACATTTCATATTGGCCAGAGGCATGATACTACTATGTATTGTAATAAGAAATATTCAGGTTTATTTCTTTTTGCCAAATCAATCTAATTTACAAGTATCTGGACTGTTCACTATTTTCATTTCTTAAAATTAAATGAATTTCAAGCTGTAATATTTTTTCAGTGTCAGTACCTAATTCTATCTCAAATACCTGAGCTTTGTTGGCTTCATGTTGTTTGAGAGACTGGTGACCCCAAAAGCTAACAAAATGGTAATACAGTATGTGCCTAAACTATGAGCTGTACAACATATAAACAAGTCAATAACAATTATTTATGAGAAAATACCTAAGAGTTTAAAGATAATTTAAGCAGTTTTAAGCTCTATTAACAACATAATCACTTGCATGATCTCTAGCAGAAGCTTCAAAGCAACATTGATTCGGAAATACTTTTAGAGTGGGTGCCAACTGTTACAGAGTGAAGCAAGCTAATTCATTAAAGTTTGTGGTTAATGGACTCGTGCTGGAATAATAAAATAATATAAATTGTATCTAATCTCAAATTCAAATATACAGATGTCAAACAAATAATTATCTTAAAGGATTTCAGTTGTATATAGGAATGAACCAAGTAGGTAAAAGTTTCAAGAAAAAAGTGTTGGAACTTTTGGCCTTTAACCTATCAAAAGAAGGAAACCTAACAGTGCTATGACCAGTATAGTATTCTAATTCCTCATATCTTCCTTCAAGAATATGTTTCAACAAATTACTTTATAAACAGTAAAGAAAGCGACTTATCGATATCGGCCCAATTACTTTATTCGGAAACCATAATCATTTTAAAACTTATTTTACTACTAATCTTGAAAATTAAGATTAATAATTTATTCAGATAAAATTAATACCCTTTAATAAAACAAATAGATACAAAAACCTGAAGCTAGAATGCAATGAAACAACAAAAATAAAATGAATTAGCTACAAGCAGAGGCAATGGGAAACAGGGAACACGGGTGAGGAAAGGCAAGGTGTAAGTGCAGCAAGGACAGTGAAGCAATACCAAGCATACCTAAATCTCCACTAGAGGAGGACTCGGTAAAGCTGGGGGTTCCCTCGGTCCAGGTAGGGGTACTACCCTCTACAGAGAGCGGGGGAGTCCAGGTGAGGGTACGGACCATTGGTGTTGACCCCACGCTAGAGTCCACACTCAGCGTTGATCGCGAGTCTGTCCGAGGCTCCAGGTGTACGTCACTCACGCTGCGTACACAACACCATCACCTGTTAGTCCACCATGCCCAGACAGCAACATACATACATACATACATACAACTATACATACATACACAAACATAGTAGAGACCTTTTGCCTCAGTTCTACTGCCACACAAGAATAACTGATAATGCTACATCCAGTTTGAGAATATGACTTGTGACAGCAGATATGAGACAAGCAAGATTGTTCAGCATTTAGAATAGAAGTTAACACACATGAAGAACACAGTGCATACACTGTTTATCCTACTGCCGTGCTTAGATTATTGGTCAAAGTAATGGTAGGCCTTAGTATTAGTAGTTATTTCATCATGCTACATACCCAGAGAAGCAGATGATATTGTCTGCAATCTTCATTATCTACTTAGTCATGAAGGAAATGTTAGCAATGTATTAGGAATTAAATATACACACACACTTTTTTAATAAATAAATATTATATTATTAATGCAAGGGTAACTTCCCAATGCAAAACGTACTAACAAACCTAATTTCTATCAAAATATGTCGCAAACTATAACTATTACCTTCAAACAAAATAATCCTCTACTTTCATAAAGAATAACAATATGTAAGAGTTTTTGGCTATTATATATATATATATATATATATATATATATATATATATATATATATATATATATATATATATATATATATATATATATATATATATATATATATATATATATATATATATATATATATATATATATATATATATATATATATATATATATATATATATATATATATATATATATATATATATATATATATATATATATATATATATATATATATATATATATATATATTATATATATATATATTATATATAAAGTACCTATGAAACTGCTGTTCAACATGATTGTAAACTACCATTTCATTAAATACTACAGTACATGTTCCTGCAAATTGATTTTTGCATACAACAAAATTGTGTTAATAACATTGTACTGTATTTTACACTGCTGAATTCAAAAGTAAAAATGCTTTGAAAAAGAATTATCCTATTTAGAAGAGTCCTTATACTTGGAATACATTCATTTTAATAGAATCCTCACCAAAAATGTACAGTATGCATGTATGTATCTATGTGTATATTATATTTATTTTATGTATCTATGTGTATATTATATGCACCAAATCGGTCCAATCCAATAGTGTGCTCTAACAGGAATTACAGTAGTTACCATAATAACAACACCACATCTTTCCTACATGATGGTTCCCACACACACATCACAAACTATTATCCCTTTTTTTCAATACAGTGCAAGACATTTATCCTTCTAGGTTTAATCCACCTTGCATGTAATTCCCATCTAAACTCCATTATGTTCTTTGCTTTTTTTAAAAGCTCGAGTCTATTCTACTCTTCCCTCTTTCCCTTCTATTGCTTTCATTTTTCAATACTTTCTCTTGTGCTCCCTTAATATTTATTCAGTTATGCTTAGACTTTTCTTCCTGTCTCTCTTCATGTAGCCCCACCCACTCTCTGGACTCTTATTCTCTACCATCTGTATCTACTGTAATATTCTTGCCTATCAATTATTATTAATCACATACGATTTGTACTTTTCTTCTATGCTACTTTAGTTCTCCAGCTAATGAAGTTTCCTGTGCCTCCCTGCTATTATCCCAATCTTGACACCATGCTCAATTTATCAACATAATCAATTCTCATCATGTCCACAACCAACAAAATCCAAATTATTGACTTCCACCTTATTAATGTTGCCTTCTCAAAGTTCCATTTTTATCCATATGCAGTATACTAAGCACATTTTATTATACAAGAACTTATGTCACACCTGCAATATCCACTGCATATAATATTTTCTTCAATATTTATATTCTTAATTTCTTGCCAAGCTGCCTCATAAGCTCAAAACTTTCAATACAAATGTTGTATTCTCATCCCACCCACTCTCATACTATGTATAAATACATTCACACACACACATTTACAGTTCTACGTGTGGATACCATCCCAGAAAACTCATGTTGAATCAAGCTGCACTGAATTTTCTCATGGATTTTATGGGAAAATTAAGATGCATCCCAGATCCAAGAATTTCATTACATACATAAGTTAAATAATGTATGTAAACTAAAATTTTAAAGCTTATTAACAATATACAATTAGTAGTGTTTATACACTGTAATATGCTAAGATTTATTTTAAAATTAGTACAACACACAATTTATTGACATAAGAAAATCTCAATTCTGATTACCAGTATATTAGTAGATAAAGTAATTATGAGGAGAAATAGCCTGTAGGAGTAAACACTTGTAGGAGTATAATTGAAATTATACAAATACGATGTTGGGGAAAAACATCTTTGAAATTCAATATTTTTAGGTTTAAAGCAATTATTAATGACAATATCAACAACTGCCTGCAGCGCGCACACTCACGTACACATTATTGTTGATCACATTAAATCCAAAAAGCAACACTATGAAGAGGTCATTGTTCAATCCCTTTGTGCAGAACCAAGTCTCTATTGTTTACAATTACCGGTATGTGATTTTTTAGATAAAAAAAATTATTACAATGTTCTAAAGTGAAGCCACATACTGTACTATCAGGTACAATTTAAAGTGATTGTTAAACAAGATTGTAAATAAAAATGACATGGAAAACAACAATAAAAAATAAAGAATGCACCAATACCAAATGTAATACAGTACTGTACAAGGAATTGGGTAAACATAAACAATCATGTATTAAAATGCTTATGAAAATGCACTAGCACTTCATCATTTGAAAGATAACAAATGACACACAACGATCAACATACACATGATTACAAACACTACTATGCAACTTATTGGGAAAAAATAACATTAAAGTTGTCAATTGTAATTTTAACTTTGAATACTCACACTATAATAATAAATAACAAAACAATACCGACTGTTGCACAAAAAATCTTATTTCTACTAAAGACACAGAAAGGTAGCAGCAGATTTGTGAAAAATACTTACGATTCAATATTAATTAAAGCACTTTACTTATGAACGATTGTTATATTTTCAATTGACAGAAGGAATATCTGATAATGGGAAAATAATTGCAACAGGAAATAAATGAAAGAAACCCTGTATACATTAGCAAACAACATTTATGATAAGCTTATCATTTGTGAAAGCAATTTACTCAAAATTAATTCTGTAGCTTTCAGATAGGGAATGTAAGAGATGATATATCAACTGCATCCCACTCCAGTCTGAGCTTGTGTGTGTAATTATTGAAGTGTAATTAGCGTGTGTGTTTAATTACGTAAGTGTTGTTACAGGATGAGAGCTATGGTCATGGTGTCTCGTCTGTCCAGTACTCCTTGTTATATATAACACCCTGAAACTACTGATGGTTTTGACATCCACTGCCTTAAACCATGAGTTTCTCATCTGCATTTCGTTTTTTTCCTTTTGGACTGGGACAAATTTGTCTGCTGCCTCCTTACACTTCTGCATGATGTAGTCCATGCCTTGGGCCATCTTTTCCCTGAGCTCTGTTTCCAATGTTATATCTGTTAGAAATTTTCTTATCTCCTCATAGCTTTCCTTTTGGAATGCCAGTCTTTTGTTTTCAGGTCCCTTCCTTGAGTACATTAACCCTTCCTCGACCAGATACTCAAACGTCAATACACCGTCAGTACACGCTCATTCCTATTGGGGCCTTGAAACCGATTTCCCTTATGTCAGAATCGTTTAGAGTGAAGATTAGGTCAAGTCTCGATGGTTCATCATTTCCTCTCATTCTTGTGGGTCCCCCCCCCCCGACATCCTGGTTTTAAAAACATTTTTGTTGCCACCTCCAATAGTTGCTCTCCATGTTTCCTCACCTCCATGCAGATCCTTGTTCTCCCAGTCTATCCTTCCATGATTGAAGTCCCCCATGATGAGCAGATGGGATCGATTTCTACAGGCAGTAGAGGCTGCCCTCAATTTTAGTGTTAACTGCCACGTTGTTTCTGTCATACTCTTGCCTGGTGTATAATTGTATCTGTGATTCTGGTATGCAAGTGGGTCTGTCATCCAGTTCCATACATTCTCCACGTTCCCCTTTTGATATATCTTTCGGTTTGGTATAACAAATTATACGAGTTTCCTTCAAATCCATTATCTTGCTTGCCACTCTTTATGTAGTGTTCTGTGCCTTTCACGTGAAAGTATGGGTAGCTAAGGTCATGGATAAGGTCAAACCTCCCTCTGTCCTCGAGGGAGGTTTTGCACATGTCAAGATGGAAAAACATACATGTTGATCCAAATCGACACTGTCCTTTCCTTTGCATACAGCATTTAAAAAAATTTGGGATGATGGTAATTACATTCTAATCCCTTCCTATTACCAGCATATCTATGTCTGCAAATGCCCTTTACATACAATTTGCATATGTCTGTCCTTCTGGTCTGACTATCAGGGACTGTTGTAGTGTCTGTACCTATCAAGCAGTCAGTGCTGTTACACTTTCTAGTCTAACGTCATCTCCATCCGGGCATACTGAATTAGAATTACTGATTACTCTTAATTACTGTAATGCTAATTACTCCTAATTACTGCAGTGATATGTGAAGGCAGTGCTTAAAAGTGATCATAAAATTGTTTGTCTGTGGTTTTCAGGAGCGTATTGGCTTACAGTTAGACCTTCATGTCCTCTCGTTTGACCCGATTATAGTTGCAATGACATCAACATAAATGAGTTACCAACCATGTAAACAATGTTATTGAACAAACACTGTTTAGAAATAGCCCAAGAAGTATTGGTGAATCCCTTTCTCTTAAACATTGCCAGTGCATTGCAACCAAAAAAGTGCTAACCACATTAAATATTTTTGATGTTGAGCCTCAACAAGTGAAATCTATTCCAATGATTTAATTTAGAGTTATGCAATCTAAATACTGTGCAACAATAGATATTTTTCTAATTTTGTCTATTGCTCAGTGTCCCCTGAGCAATACACACACC